ATTAAGCAGCATTAAAGAAAGAAACTCATATGCTGGTATCCCAGGTTGTAGCCTTAAGCAGCAATTTTTGCAGCATCTCCTATTTACCATAATCTTAAACCCATGCACTACCTGTTCCTTTAACATTAAAATGATTAAATTTTTAACATTGAGCAAAACGTATGCTCCAGGAGAATACACGGTGTTTATCCTGTGACTTCTGGCATCTGGGGTCTAGTGTCTGGAATCTGGCAACCCAGGAGCACAAGTTCAAGGGGATCACAAATCCAGCACCCCTGGGGCTAGCCCTGGCATGGTAGCAGACACACCAGGACCCTTAATCCTCCTTCATTTTCCTTGTTCTTCAAAGGCCTTTTAGTCTGAAAGTGAAGGTGACAGGCTGGCTACTTCCTCAAAAGGTAGACTCTTGAAAAAAAAAAAGTTTAACTATCATTGTCAAATCTGGGAAGGAAAACAAAAGTTTAAATACAGTGTGTGATGTTTGGTGCCAGACTGCTCCTCAGGGAAGTCGCCTGTGGGAAGGAAGTCACCCAACCTGAGAAGTCAGCAGTGATCAAACATTTTCATTACAAAAAGAAAGTCACCCCAGACAAAGCGACCTGATTATAAACTAAGTCTCTTCTATTGAGAAGAATCATATGCTTGGAGGGGGAAAAAAGTACCTGCATCAGAAAATGACCATCACTTCCTTACGACTAGAACATGCCCTGAGGAATGACCGTGCAAGAACCACTTGTGGCCCCCACCCCAGAATCTCGGTGGGGGGAGTTTAGCACAGGTGAGAGCTACATGGAAGAAGCACAGAGGAGGCTGTTACTGAAATGATTGACGCCAAAGAGCCTCTGAATAGTACCAATACCAGTAATACCATCACCGTGTGTCGGTGTTGCCCTTTACAGGCTACATGCACGTTCGTAAACGTGAATTGTTTTGTGCCCTTACTAATCTTCTAGTGGAGGGAGGCCAGGTATTGTTGGAAATGAGGACCAGGGTTCAAAAGAGATTGGTGGCTTTTCAAGTCTTACAATTACCAGATGGCGGTGCTGGCCGCTCCTCTGCCACATGCCCCTTGCACTGGACCACCTGGTAAATGCTTGTAGAACTAATTAAACTTGAGGAAGATGAAGAAAAAGCAAACCACAGTCTATGTCTCCTGCTGGTTTAGCATGTTTTCTTTCTCTCATCACTAGAAATTCTGAATACACACATTTAGTTTAAAAATAACCTAGATTTTTATGAACTGCCAAAATGAACTTCATGTCATAAACACATTTGCTGCCTTCCTCTCTCCCCCAGGATCTGGCATGGTAACAATAATAATGAAGTGCTCCAGCAGCACTTTTCCTCCTCAGATGATAAGCTGATGAGTTATCCCTTCTTCTCCAAGCAAGAGGTGCCTGTGCAGGGTAGTAGGAGCAATTTTGCTGATGCCTTTGCCTCCAATAGCAAAAGCTGGAGGGGGCCCTTTGGGCTTTTCCTAGGACTTGGGTCGCTCCGGCCCCGACTTCTTAGAGGAGTGGAGAGAATGAGGCTTCTGCCTGAGAGTGTGCTGACACCCCTGTCTTCCCCAGCTGCCATTCTGGGTACGTCGGTGCGCGCTGTGAACACGCAGACCTCCTGGCCGTGGTGGCTGCCAGCCAGAAGAAGCAGGCCATTACCGCCTTGGTGGTGGTCTCCATCGTGGCCCTGGCTGTCCTCATCATCACTTGTGTGCTGATACAGTGAGTCTTTGCTGCCTCTGAGGCTGAGTCCCCCATCTGCCTGCCCCACGAGGGCTATGTGCAGCGTGCCCAGATAACAGGGCCACGCTGATGTCTGATTCATGTTAGCAAAGCAAAGAGGAGCTTTGGTGACAGCCAAGCTATGTAAAGGGCACACATGCTGGGAGGTCCCTAACAGAGGATCTGTGCCTTGCTGGATGCCAGTGCAGAGCCAAAGTTGCTCTCTCCTTGCTGTGGGCTTGGAGGCTTCACCATTGTGATGGGGATACACAGACTTTCCAGAGGGAACTAGAAACGGCTCCCAGCCTCCTGTGGGCAGTAGCCACAGCGCTTCCTCTCTGCAGAAGGCACTTTGCAAACCCTAAAGCCACGGTGGCTGTTACCACAGGCCTTCCCCTCTCTCTACTTCTCTGCCCCCCGCTCCAAAACTCACTGTCTGGCGTCTTCCAGGAAGCCTTCCTGAGCCCTAGACCAACTGAGCCCCTTTCCAGGTTTCTTAGCCCCGTTTGCTCACCTAGGACTGCTCTGCAACAGGAGAGACCCTAGGGTTGTATTTCCAGCATCTGGCCAGATTTATTCCCTGGAAATATCTGGAGACATCTAAGTCACAGAGCAACCCTCAGAAGATGTCACCTAATTGGACGCGCACAAGGGATTGGCAGAACAGCCAAAGGCTGCAGTTAGATCGGTGCAGAGTAACTCAAGGTGGAGACAGTAAGTGGACGGGCCCTTTCTGGCCAGGGCTGGAAGGAACAACCATGAGTTACTGCGCGAAGCCAGACTTGAGCCCTCTGAGCGTGCCCAGGGTTTTAGATAAATAAGAGTCTCTGTCCTGTTTTTTTATTGGTTTGTTGCCATTGAAGCGTCTCAAGCCCATGCTCCTGGTTCTGATAATGAATGGAGAGCCCCTGGGAGCCCCAGCTCGGTGACAGTAGCTACAGCCTGCTCATGTCCTCCTCCTGAATCGAGGCAGCATTAAGGGGTGAGGGATGAGGTCCGAGCTGGGCTGGCCTCTCCTTCTCCGTTTTACTCCCGTGTGTCTTAGGAAAGATGTCTGCAGGTGGTGGACCTGTTTTCAGGCTGGGGCATAGCTCAGGTTCTGCCATGCGTGAAGACCCTCCCCCACCCCCACTGGGGCAGCAGGAGCAGCCAAGGGACTGCTGGCTTTGACTCTTATGGCTGGCTGGCTAAGTGTCCCCACCTGTCACTCACATAGCCCCTTTTCTGTGTCCCAGCGCCTCAGGAAGAAGCCTAAGTGCCCATGTGGGCCTCCCCAGAGGGACTGGAGAGTTAATTTTGCCATATTCTCTGAAGACAAGACTAACCCAGGATACCTGGGCAGCCTCTTCCTTCCCAGGGAGGCAACCATTCCACCTCTCCTGTGTCCTTTCCAAGCCTACCCTTGCCAGAAATCAAGTTCAGAATCCCTGATGCAGAGACTAAGTCCTCGACCTGCCTGGCACTGGTTGCCCAGGCACTGGATCCCTCCTGAATGGCAGAGTTGCTTGGGACCAGCCCATCCCATGCCCGAGGGGTCTAGAGGCCAGGATCCCGCTGCCCTGGGGCACACCTGCTTGGGAAGCTCCTGGGGCAAGCCCACCTGGCTAGGTGACTGCAAGGCAGCCATCATTGATAGATCTAGAATCAAGGCCTCTATCACATGGGGTGAGCTGGTCCCAACCTGGATTCTGCAACTCAAGAGGGACCCGTGCAGGGGCAGACTGCTCTGGCCACCCATGGCAGAAGCAGTTTGGGCAGAAATGTCGCAGGGTTCCTTCTCAGCTCTGCTGCCCAAAGATTCGGTGGCTGCAGTCACCTCCCCAGGGCAGTGCCGAGAGAGAGGGGCTGGGGATAGGGATTGTGAGATGACACCAGGCACCAAGAGGGAAGCCCAGCCACCGGATTGTTTCCTCATCTGTTTCTGGTCTCGTGGCAGCCAGGAGACCCCTCCCAGCCCCAGTCAGTGGGTGTATAGGTTCTGCATACGTTAGGGTTAGAATGAGTGGAAACAGAGTCCTCCATGGTGTCCCAGGGGAAATAGCCAACAGCGCTCTAGCGAGTTAATGTCTTACTCAGGGCTTTCTTCTCTGCCCTTCTCTTGGGTTCTCTGGTTCTCTTTTCATGCTAACTCTGCAGGCTGTTCATTGCTGCCCACAGAGAGAGGCTGGAGCCCTCATGGCCCTAATGCTTCAGCACTCCGGGTAGCAGGTTCACTGAGAGGATGGGTTGGCCACAGGTAGAGAATGTTAGTCCTCAGAAAAAAGATTCGGAGCCACGGACATGTGCGACTCACTCTCTCATTCCATCCATGGGTCCATCCAGCACCCTCTGCCCCACGCAGTCCCTGCTTTGCTGCTGGCAGTTCCTGATGGATGACCCCACCCCATCCCAAGCCCTCACGGCCCTGCCAGCCTGAAGCGGCTGCTTTGGCCCAGTCCTGACAGCAGTTCTGGGGCTATTGCTACGTTTCTGGAGTTACCCCACTGCTTATGGTGCAAGCAGCTGGTGGATGACTGGTCCTCTCTGACAGCTGGGAACCCAGTGCAGAGCCGCCAAGTGGAGCTGGTCCTTTGCGGTGGCCAACAACAGGTCCTCTCTTGGGTGACCAGCTCCTGCCCCAAAGGCCACTGCCCTGCAAAGCCCCCAGCCCCCTGCTGTGTCTGTCCCTCTGGAGGCCCCACGGGAAGGCAGTGTCAGAGCCCAGCACTGCCCAGCAGGCCCCTCGGGTGGCCACTGCACCAGCTGGGCTCCGCTGCCAGGCTTCCGCACAGACCGTGTTCTCTGCATCTTTGCAGCTGCTGCCAAGTCCGAAAACACTGTGAGTGGTGCCGGGCCCTCATCTGCCGGCACGAGAAGCCCAGTGCCCTCCTGAAGGGAAGGACTGCTTGCTGCCACTCAGAAACAGGTAAGGGGCCGTATCGAAGAAGGGCCTTTTTCCCCTGGGAGACACTATTGGGTAGAGAAAAGGACCACCTTTTCCAGGTCAGGACAGAAGTTCTTGGAGGATGAAACAGAATGAAGTGAGGAAAAGAAGAGGACATTTATCCTACCAAGTCACGTTTAGCTTATTCTAGTGTGTATTTTACTCAGAAGAGAGCTGTTTTATCCTTACTGGTGACTGTGTGACCTTTAGCAAGTAACTTAACATCTCTGAGCCTCAGTTTTCTCTTTAAAAAGATGTGCAAACTGAATAAGTACTGATATAAAGTACCTAGTAGAGTGTACTGCAGACTGTAGACATGCAGCAGATGTCCATTCTCCTTCCTTGAGAAATCATCTCCCCTTTCCCATCAGTGAAATGAGGGATTTAGCCTACATAGAAGGTCTCAAAGCACTCTGAACTCTTAGAATCCTATGATCTTCATTTAGTTTACCAATATCCCCGAAAAAGATTGGATGTCTGGACATGAGGCCAAACCCATGTCTCAGGAGCCCTCATCTGGGCATCACTGGCCTGGGGCTCCTGGAATCAATTAGCAAATTTATCCCTACAAGCTCAGTGAAGTCGCGCATCATGAAGTGTTTCTGGAATGCTGGTGTGACCAACAGAGCCCGTCATAAACTTAGAGTTCCTTCTTAGAAAGTGGTGGGTCAGGAAACGGTCACCCCAGGCTCGTCCACCTGGGGGCGTCCTGCTCTGGTAAACAGTCTGCATTCCAGAAATTTAGAGTTGCATGGAGAGGGCCAGAAGAAAAGCAGCTGGAAAGCTGGACCACTGCCGTGTTCATTAGGGCTCCTGGGAATGTGACCTGGAGGGAACCGAAGGCCTAGGAGCGCCGTTTACTTTGTCTCAATCTCAAGAACCATTGTCATTATGTGTGAGCGGCTCTTTTAATTTAGGAAGATGCTAATTCATTAATCCTCATAGTAGTATGGGTAAACTGTGTCTGCCAAAGGCCTGCTTGGGTTCCACCGTGAGTCCCTGGGGGAGCCGATGTGTGCCAGGGCCTCTGAAGACCCCCTCACATCTCCTCCACTACCTCGAGGAACCATCCCTTGAGCTAATGAAGGAAAATATTTTTACTTTGTATTTTAGCACCAATAGAAAAATTGCATATGCCTTTTGGAGAAAATTTATAGTCGATCTTGTACCATTGGTCTGCACCTCAGCAGAGTCATTTAGGGCAGAGTAAATTCCTTGTTAATGTTACTTCTCTCCCTACATTTGAGAGGATGTTAGCTTTGAACCTGGGGATGGGTCTGACCTTCCAGACAGATGGCCACCAAGGCTGAAGCCCCTCTCCTTCAGATGATGGGTACCTTCCCACCTCCAGAGGAACCACGGAAGGGACCAGAGCAGCAAGATGTCCAGGCTGGGCTGGACTCAGGAGCTGCTAGGGCCTGGGTGCATGCTGCCTCGCCGTGACCAGCACAGAGGACACCCTCAGGGCCCACCCATTGAGAAAGAAGGGGGATCTGTTCTTGTATGGCCTCAGGAAGCCAGTCTGCTGCCAGAGCCCTGGACCAGCTCATGAGCTCTGCCCACTAAGCCACCCCTGATGAGGGAACTGGCCGCAGACTGGGCTGAGTCACCGACAGCGCAGTTTCAGGAGCTGCTGCCCCTGCAGCTAAACCAGCAGGATGTGGACTTGACTGCCCAGGGGGACCTGGTGACTTGGGGACTTTGGCTGATGCCTCCCCAAGTTTCAGTCCCGGGCCTGTTCTCCCAGCCTGGCTGGGGTCTGGCCCGCGGAGCTTAACCTGTTTTCCCTTCCTTCCAGTGGTCTGAAGAGCGCAGAGGAGGAGTCCTGCCAGGTGGACCGCGGCAGCCCGATGAAGAAAGAACTTCTTGAGGACGGCCCGGCGAGGGCTGTCTGGGACGTGCCAGCAGGCCTGTCCCCTCTGCCCGCGATCGACTCTGTGGGCTTTTCGTCTTTCGTGGGCCTTCCTTCAAAACTCTGTCCAGGACTCTGTCTGCTTGGGGTTATTCGGTGTGACCTGGAGAAGAAATCAGTGGACCACAGTTTAAAGACTGGTCAAAAATGAACGGCAGAGGGGTGGAGCCGCTGTTTACCTAGTTAGCGTGTGCGTGGGCATCCGCGTCGAGGCATGTGTGGGTGTGTTCTGCCCGTCACAGATGCCAGGCTGTGTTTCTTTTCACAGCAGTCTCCATCCTGCCCCACACCGGAGATTCCTATCATATCGTTGCAGTTGTTTCTTATCCGCGTATTGGGGAAGAAGGTGGAGAAAACAAAATCGCCTTTTGCTACGTGAAGTCATCGGCAAGGAGGAGCCGTGCCTGTCCTCTGTCCACGGAACCCTCAACCAGCCCGGTGTCTTCCACGGACTTGTGATGTTGAAGATCGTCCCAAGCCTTTGCCACCCTCGGAGATAATTTCTTATTTATGAGACAGATGATAGTTTTATTTTTAATCTCTTAAGTCAATGTAAAAAGCATAAAACCCGTTCAGACTTCTACGTTACTGATGTATGTATTGCTGGCTGGAAAGCTATACTGATTAGAAATGTCTGGTCTCTTTGGGACAGCTAAAGCTTGGGAAAAGCCACCCAGGATGGGTAGAGATGGGAGCAGAGGATGAGTTGCTACTGAGAGTTGCTAAGATCGGGGTCCAGAGGTCATGCCATTTAATGCACAAAGCAGATGGATGCTCCAGGGTACATTCCTGTTGAAAAGTTAGCAGATCTAGCCGTGGAGATCTGTCACCTTGTCAAGGAAGAGGCAGAGGGCCTCTGTGGGCATCCACATGGGATAAACACAATACTCACTCCACTGCTCTGGTCTTTAATGTGTTAACTTTCTCGTGAGCCGTCCGAGAGCCTGTTTAGAAATAGAGCCTCAGCAGAGAGCCACGGGCATTTGGGGCTGCGTCCATGAAAGAGGGACCAGTCACTTATTTTTCCATGTTGTTGCTTAGTTGATTTGTTGCTTTATTTCTAAAAGGAGAAATTTAACTTTCCTATTTATTTTCAAGTATAGGAGAAATAGTCCAATGATTTTTTTTTCTTTTCCATTCAGGATGCTGGTTTTATTAACAAAAAGCACTAAGGAGCCGCCGCCACTGTGTGAGTCTCACTTTTCCCCGAGAGATGGAGAAATTGTTCTCCTGGGCATCTGGGAACCTTCAGACCCAGTGGGCTTGCCAGTAGGAAGCATCGATCCGCTCCCACCACACAGCGGGAGCTCATCCCTAGAAATTATCATTAAAATTTGGAAACAGGATAACAATGAAATGATACACAAACACCTTACGTGAGGGAACTCTTTATTCACTGATAGTTGAAAAATGGAAGAGGTCTACCTATTAACCCTTCAGTGCACCTAGCTCCTCACATCATGAAAAGGACCTTTAAAATACGTCAAGTTGGCTTGAAATTTCTATCAGGTGATTTTGGCCTCCCCTGATTCTTCCTTCCCAGGCTGTCAGTTTCAATGGATTTTCTCTGTATTTCTTACAACTGGGACAATTACATGACCATGTCCTACCTTTGGCACTTTTACTAAATGATGCTGCAGCCGAAGCACCAAGAGCAGAGATGGGATCTGCTCACCAGCAGCAGGCCCCCAGCGGTGGAATTGACACAGCTCCTGGGGTTCAGTCATGTTAGAAGACAGGCTTAAGTTTGTATCCCCGGTCCTACAGCAGTGAATCTGGGAGCTGAGGCTTCACCATAGCACGTTGCTCAGAGACCGATCCAACTGACACTGGTTCGTGGACCCCAGTTTGCACTCACTCTTCAGAGACTAACGAAAGGGGAGTAGCAACATTCGCTTTTAACTTGAGATCACATTTTTACTTTAGGACAATCTTTCTTCCATCTTTTAGAGACTATTTGAGGTCTGGTTGCCTTTAAAGAGTAGGAACTGATGTTGAGAGTGTCTTGTGGGGCTGTCTTCCCCTGATGGGTGGAAGGATCAGTGTCTAGTCTTCAGGCACACGAGCCTTTGCAGAGAGGTGAGAAGACAGGATGGACGCACAGGGAGCCCTGCAGGGACTTCAGAGTGCCTGTGAATGTTCTAGTCCAGCAAGCCACAGTGCCGGTGCCCCCTTCCTTGTGCCTGTACGACCTGCAGCTAACAGGCTCAGATGTGTGCCTCCCTAGAAGCGCCTCTCAAAACAGTCCTCTGTAAACCAGGAGGTCTGAAACGAGTTGCAAGCAGAGGCTGGGGTCAAGGCAGGCCTGGTTGGACCCTTGTCCACGCCCCAGGATATGGGAACCTTTTCTTTAGTGATTTCTTTTTAAGAAATCAGGTGGCCAACAAGCATTGGATTCCTGTGCCATTTCATGGCATTGGTACTTCTTTGGTTCGTTGTAAAAAAGCCCGCTTTTCAGGTTAAAAACCATCTTCTAATCGATCTCTGTCGGTTCCCCATATTTCCTTGCTTTGGAGAAAGCCAAGTTTGCTGTGATTAGGGACGCCTTCTCAAGATCTGACCTGGTAGGTAGCCACACACCTGTGCGGTGGGGAACACGGCTGTTTCTAAAGTCTCTCTCAGGACAAATGAAAAAACCCTAATTTAAAAAGAGGGGGCTGGAGCATAGCTCAGTGGCAGAACACCTGCTTAACATGAACTGGGTTGTGGGTTGAATCCCCAGTACCTCTGTTAAAAAAAATAAAGAAATAAGCCTAATTAATTCCACTCCCCCAAATAAATAAATAAATAAGAATACAAATGGGCTTCTTGTTAAAGCTGCTACACAATTTTAAAAATGAATAAATCTTTAAAAATTTTAATAGGGGGAAGAGGGTGCTTCCAAATCTCTTCTGGAGCCTGGATTCTCCCACTGGTCTACAGGCTGTGACTGCTCTAGGCATCCTGGCAGGAAGCGTTTTCTCCTAGATAGAACGCTATACACCAGCCAAATCTGAAAGTGACATGTGTCACCAAACAAATAAGAGCCTGCCATCATGAGCCAGCAGAGGAGGTGGGCAGAATGTCCCCAGAGTCTATTTTCCCAGGAAAGGAGAAGGTGAAATTGACATTCCCCCACCCACACTGGTCAGGGAGGAGGTGCATTCTAGAGCTTCCTGGGAGCCTGTTCTGTGCAGATGGAGGAGCGTCTGGCATCGTCAGGTTGCCCAGGGCCAGGCTACCTCAGTGCACGTGGGCTGCTGGCTGCTTTTCCAGGCAGTTTTAGCAGGAACGGATCAACGAGACTCCAGCACTGCTCAGAAGACCCCGACCCCTTAGGAGGATCTTGGCTTTGCTTTCTCCCAGCCTGCTCAGCTGAGGAGGGAGCAGGGGGATGATTCAAAAGCCCAGGACCAAGGGGGACATCACAGAAACAAGTTGAACACATATTTGTTCTTGATGTTCTAACATAAGACCTGTTCTCTGTAGCCACTGATTTTACCAGGCTTTCTAAAAGATAGAGTGGTAAACACACACACAGGATTGAAACCAACCCCTCTTCCTAGTGTAATAATTCACTGAAGTGTTCAGCTTTTCATTATCTTCATTATAACAAACCTGATGCTTTTTTTTTTTAGAACTTGTTACTCTGACTTCTGTATATGTTGCACTGAAAAGGTTAATATTTAATGTTTTAATTTATTTTGTGTGGTAAGTTAATTTTGATTTCTGTAATGCATTAATGTGATTGGCAGTTCTTTTCCTTAATATCTGAATTATACTTATTTAAAGAGTAGTGAGCAATAGAAAATGCAGTTGTGTTTTTCAGTAATGTGTATTGTTGTTCAGTTGTACTGTACCCTGTTTGGAAGGATGAAGGAATGAACTTTTTTTTTCCTAAATCAAGACTGGAGCTTTTCTTTCATGAGATTGGGCTATTACCAGAGCACATTAAGAGAGTGTGTGCTGGGAGGAGGGTATCGTGCGATGGCAGAGCGCATGCTTAGCGTGCACGAGGTCCTGGGTTCCATCCACAGTACTGCCTCTTAAAAAATAAATAAATAAATAAACAGGGGACTGTGTGTTAATAGCCGTGATTCTCCAAGCTGGTCCCCAGACCAGGAACATCATAATCACCTGGGAACATCTGAGGAATGCAAATTTTCAAGCCCCGCCCCAGACCTTATTAAACTCTAGAGGTGCCCCTGCCCCCTCCACCTTCCAGGTGATTGTATGAAACATGCTCGTTTGAGAACCACTGTGCTGTAGGACTCGGCAGAGGGCAAATTTGTGTGGGGCTACAGTTTTTAGGAAAAGCACTCAATAGGCTTTTCAGAGGCACTGAAACTTAACACAGTTTACCCCTTAGTGTTCAAAGTGAATGGCCATCGGACAGTACAGTCTCAGAACAGGGCTTACGTTTTTCTGGATCTTCTCTGCTGAGCCTCGTGAAAGAAGAAAACAGGCCACCCCACCCCGACTCACACACCCCTGCTCCCCACTAACCAGTTTCTCACTGTAAGGAACTGTTCTAAAATTGTCCACCCGGTTCTTACAAGCCCCGCTGCACTTGAGTTCCCATTCTCTGCCCTTTTAACCCACGTGCAGACCTCACATGTCCCACGATGTCAAGGGAGCATGTGGAGGAGCAGTAGGGAGTGAAATAGATGCTGGAGGGTGTGTGATCTTGGTCCCGAGGAAGGTCTCTCCAATAATGACACCCCCAGGGCTAGATTCTCAGGGCCCCTCCCCCCCAGCTCCAGCTCTCACCACCCTTCATTTACACCAGTCCTCCCCCTGTCCCTTCTGCCCTGGGGTGGTGATGGCTTCCAACAGTTGCTAGTTTTAATGCTGCCAATCTTGCCTCCCCCTCCCTCCCATCCACCCCCACCCTTGCTTTTTAATTTCCAGGAATGCTTAACCAGAGGCTAAAAATTCAAATGCCACCGGGAGTGAAGCTGTTCGTCTGAATTAGTGCAACTGCTGGATGGGAACATAAATGCCCATGAGTAGTTCGAATCTGGAGAGGGAGATGGACACTGTGATAAACTGGGGTCCACAGACTTCTTCTGAAAGGGGACAATCACTTACTGCTAGCCCGTGGTGGATATCCAGCAAGATGGCCTGATTTTCCATTTTTCCAAGAGAAGCAGAAAATCTGGGCTTTTTCGTGAAATAGCTCTGTTTCTAAACGTGGCTCAAATTTGAAACCACTCTGTGGCCCCAACCGAAATCTGTCCGCAGGTCACCATCCTTTGCAGCCTCCACTCTCAAGCTGTTCGCTTGTCTCCCTTCCACGCCTCTCTGCCTTCACAGTTCTTTTTGCTGAGAATGGCTTTATCTGCTTCTTGGCCTGAGAAACTTTTGTTTCTTCAAGAACAGGTTCACACCTCACTTTGTCTCTGGAGCCTTCTTGCAGCCCCCAGACAGAGCCTACCCAGAGCACACTGGCTTCATTCAGCCTCCTCGACCCTCCCTGAGTTCCAAAAGACAAGATTCAAACAGTTGCTAATTAGGGAAGGGAAGAAATGCAGAAACAAGGGAGCAACAATCAAGAAACAACAGTGCAGCCTTGAGGCTGGGTCCTGGTTACCAAGGCCCCCAGGGTCATACCCCCGCCCCTCCCTCAAATAGACACCAATTACTCTTTTTTTTTTTTTTGAAGTGTGGTCGATTTACAATGTTAGTTTCAGATGTACAGCAAAGCAATTCAGTTATACATACACTTTTTTTTTCATATTCTTTTCCAGTACAGCTCATTACAAAAAGTTGAATGTAGTTCCCTATAAAGAAACCAGTTCCCCTTGTCTAAGAGTCAGGAGGCAGAGAGAAGAAACAAGAACCGGTCAGGAGCTACAAAGCCCAAGATGATGACAGATTTGACTTCCAGTGGACCTCGAGCTTCATTATACAGTCACTACAATTCATTAGCATGCTAAATGACACGCCCATCAGCGCCATGACAGTTGACGATGACAATCACTGGAAAAACCCAGGTACCAGGACCGAAAAGAAAGGCAATTGGCTCCAGCACATCCAGAATGAGGACATGACAGCAGAAAAGCCCCACGTGACCCAAGCCGCAGCTGGAGCTGTCTCGACCGGCCATCTTTGCTGACGGACGGCTCCCCGCTCAAATGTTTTTCTTCCCTTCTTTCTGCTCTGATTGTGTCAGTTTCTTGGGAAGCTCTTCTTCACCCCCCGCCCCCGGCCAACCTGGAGGTGTTTTGTTTGTTTGTAATATGCTCTCATGATGAGACAAGCAGGAAGGGGGCAGAGCACAGCCATTCAAGAAATAACATAGCAGTTAACACCAAGGTTGCGGAAAATTCAGTTCCCAGCAGGTTTGGAGGCCCATGATGGCAGGAGATTGGACTTGCAGTAGACCTTGAGCTTCATTATACGCTCGTTGTAATATATTAGCCCCTAAACGTCACTCCCACAGGCACCATGACAGTTCTGAGGCTGACCAAGAAAGGTCAAAAAGTGGGCAGTGGCCCAGTTCCTGGGAACCCCAGCCCCTTCCCCAAAGTATTTGGAATAATCCCCCCACTTGTTAGCACAGGAAATAAGCAAGCCCATGAAAACTAACAACCCGGCACCACATGGCCGCTCTCCCTTCTGAGTGAAAAGGACAGCACTCTGTCGATGGAGCGTGTAACTACTTTTACTTTAAACTGAGCCCCCAATTCCCATACCTCCTGGCCTTTCTCTCACCTTCTGAAACAGCCCGCACTCTGTCTGTGGAGTATGTATATCTCTGAATAAATCTACTTTACTCAACCGTGGCTCACTCTTGAATTCTTTCCTGTGCGAAGCCAAGGACCCACACTTGGCAGGGCACATCCCAGGGACTCAGCCAAGACCTGGAATAGAGCTACACTCATTCTCCTGTATCAACGCTATCTCACTCCATTCCTTCAGTGTCCTTATTCCAGGGGCTCTACTCCACTACTGTGACTATCTGCTGAATCCTGGTCTCCCTCCTAATGTTGATCTTACAACTCCTGGCTCTTACCATGAGTTCAGGATGTGCCTATCTGTACACCATTAAAATCCCAGAGCCTTGCACATACCTAGCATATATAGGTATTCAATAAAAATTTGCTGAATGAGACCCTATGGGGAACTCACGCAACAACAGAAACAGATAAATAAAATATCTGGAAGTGACCTGAATGAGAAATATGCAGAAAGTGTATGAAAACCTATTAAAACTCTAGTCAAATATATATGTATTTTTAAATAGAGAAACATATGTCCCTAATTTGAAAAAAATAATATTGTAAAGTTTTCATTTCTTCCCAATGTATAATAGATGTGATAGAATTCTAATCAAAATCCAGATGGGAGTGTTGAATAAAAGAAATTTACTACAATTTACACAGTAAAGATGGCAAAGAAAAATTCTTAGGTGGGAATAATGATGGAAGTAAAACTATAATAGAGCTTAAAATGCATTATAAAACTAATAAAACAGTGTAAGAATAGAATAATGCAACAGTGTTGCAATGCATGTATGTTGTATATCTATTAATTTAGCAATTTAATAATTGGTAGTAAATGGTAAAGAAGTATAAAATGATAAAGATAAATAGGTAAAGAAATATAAAAATCTGCTGAGACACAAAAGATTATTCAATAAATGTAGTTAAAAACTGGCTTCTACTTAGAAAAGAAAATTATTTTGGATCTTTATCATATGTACCAAAAGCATAATAAATCAGATGGATCGAAAAATAAGATCCAAAAAAGTCAAATCATAGGGAAAAAATAAGAAAATAGAAGTGAGCATTTACCAAACCCTGTGGAGGGGCAGACTTTTCCAACTTGAAAGTGACTGCTGAAAATATCACGGAGGAAAAGATGACTTTGCTATAGACAAAAACTTACTCTTCTATATGTAAAAATGAAAAGGCAAAGAACAGAAATATAATTGTTGCAGATCTGACAAAAGGATAACGTCTTTCTCACATAAGGAATTCCTATAAATTAAAATGTGTGAAGACTGGGAGGGACGAATCGGCAACGACCAAGACCATTCGATTAATAAAAGCAATGACCCTTAATAAACAAACATATGGGGAAACGTCAACATTACTGATAATCAAAGAAGTACACGTGAAAACAAGATTTTATCTTTTCCCTACGAAATTAGCAGAGATTTAAGAAAATAATAAAGTCCAGTGCTGGTGATTATGTGCTGAAAATGGCCTTTCTTATACATCCACAGTTGGACTATAAATGGGTAAGTTTCTTTTGGAAATCAATTGGTTATCTATATCAAAAGCATTAAATATGATTTTTTGATCTCATAACTCCACACAGTCAAGTTAGTTCCCAAAGGTTTAAAAAACCTTCAGAAAGTTTTTCACCATATTGTTATTTTTAAATTGACTAAAAATCAAGACTAGCCTCAATGTCCAATAACTGTATGTCTAAGTAAATTGTGCTTTATCACTCAATGGCTTATAATGCAAACATTCAAAATAATATTTATAAGGACTATTTAATGACATGACATTTAGGGTTTAATGTAAAAGAAAAATTAACATGTAAAATTACATGCACAGAATGCCAATTATGAAAAAACAAGTAAATTCTATAATTTAAAGAAAAACAAACCAAGTAATAATGATGTCTAGACTCTAGTATAGACGTTATAATTTTTGCTATCATTTTCTATATTTCATTAACAACTAGAATGGAAAAACAAATACTTAAAACTATACCTGTTACTTGAAGGACCATGATTAAAAATTGGTGTAATTTTTTTTAATTCTACATTAATTCCTATGCACATGTTTTCATGACCAAGTACACGAGCTGTGGTGAAGCCCTGGCACCACCACTGTGGGCTTTGGGCAGGTTACTTAACTTCTCTGGACCTCAGTTTGCTCAT